TTCTTTGTAAAAACTTCAATTGAATTTCAATAAAGTTAAAGGCATGGCCTCACTGCTAATATTTAAAAAAAAAAAAATATTTTAAAAAACTAATAAAACAAAATTGCTAACTCTTTCCAATAATCACTTATGCTAAAATTTTAATAAATTAATATAATTATTTTAGCAATTTATAATTAAATATAATTTTAAAACTAAATAAAACTGTTTTTTATTTAAATTTATATACATTTATAAAATTTTATATTATTATCTTAAATATTAAATCAACTAATTAACTCTGTTAAAATTTTTTAAATTACTTATATTTAAATTTAGTTTAAAAAACTTATTTTATCTATTACTACAAAGTTATTTATCTCATTTTAGATTTTATTTTAATATAAGTTTCATTAAAAATAATTCAAATTGATTATTTTATAAGTAAAAACTTTAAATATTTACTTTTTTAAAATTTTCTAAAATTTTGTTCTTTTTTCTTTATTTTTTTAAATCTAGACCTCAAATATATTTTAAAATACCTTATTTAAGTAATTTAATAAATTAAAAATTTTTTTATAATTATTTTTTTTTAAGTTCTTAATTAATCAATATAAAACAAATAATTATAATTTTATAGTTTTCTAAAATTATACAATCTTGTATTCTAAAAAGATAATTTGTTATTTTTAAAACTACTAATAATAGACATAGATAGGTTAAAAGAAAGGATATTATAAATAGTATGAGTATTTTTTGATATTAATAAGAAATAGAAAGAGATTTATAAATTAATTAAGAAAAATATATTATTTGAACCTAGTTGTAAGAGATAAAAGAATAAAATATAGTTTTATATTTTATAATAATAATTAATTAGAGTATTAGTTAATAGTTGAAATAATTATATTTTAGCTAGCTAGCCTTTAATATATTAAATACTAATAATTTTAAAAATTAGTAATATAGATTTCCTTTAACCTAATCTAATTAAAAAATAATTTGATACAATTATCTATAACATTTATTAGAAAATAAGAGGTATAATATTATATTAGGTGTTTATTTTTAGTAAAATAAATGTAGTTTAGAAGTTTTATTTTAAGAATTTTTTTCTATAATTAAGTTTCTTATTGTATCTTAAAGTTTCTACTATGATATTATATAAATAAAAAAAAACAGTAATATATTAAAAATATATTAAATATTAATAATACTAATTTTTTAATAATGTTATTAAAAACTATTCTAGTAGGTTTAGATTGCAAATAAATTAGATAAAATTAGATAATCATATTGTTTATAGTCTAAGTCTCATTCTTGTAAAAAAATTTGTAAATTAGCCCTAGTTTGTGTCAACTTATATAGTTATCTATAATAAATTAATAATAAAAATAAAAATAAAACCTAATCTTAATACAAAAAAAATAAGGTTATTAAACTTAATAAATTGATGATAAGTAAATTGATAAGCATTATATTATTAATTTTTTTTGTTAAGAATAGTATTTTTTTAATATAAATACTAAATAGACAGTTAAGTTTAGATTATGTATTTGTATAAATTAGAGTAATTTGAAGCAGATATTCTAATAACTATTGTAGAATTAAATTAAAAAATAATTAGATTTATGAAAATATTATTTTTTGTATTAAATAAAAAAAAAAATTTTTAATTTTGGTTTAAATTTGATCAAGAGTTGAGTTGAAAAAGTCTTTTATATTGTAAAAGATACCAATAAATTATATTATATTTTGAAATTTTTTGAGATTAATATTCTGATAATACATTATAAGAGTAAAAGTTAAGTATGTTGAAAATTTGAATTTGATATAAAAAAGGTTTAATTTGGTAACATTGATTTCTATATTGTTAAGTTTATACAATATAGAAATATAATTTATAATATTTTGTATTATATTAGCACTTTCATAATGCTAGGTAGTATCATTAGTAAAGACCAGTATATAAAATTTCAAATATATTAGCACTTTCACAATGCTAGGTAGTATCATTTATAAAGACTAGTATATAAAATTTCAAATTAAAAAAATACTTATATTTTTTTTAACTTTTTATATTTTTGACTAAAATGCTTATTTATTAGTTCTACTCAATTTCAAAATATTTTTTTAGTGTAAATACTGAACATGTAAAAGAAATTGTCAAAAAAAAACTTGATCCAAAGCATAAACTATTCAAGTACATCTGTTTCTTGGTATTTACATACTGAAGTTTGTTAATAATAAGTATACTTTAGTAGGTAAAATCAAGAATATCTTTTATTTTATATGCAAAATCTTCAAACTATTTTTAAAATTAACTTGATTTAAGTAATTATCAAGAAGAATTGTTACACAAATATATTATTTTACAGGTATATTACATAAACTATCTATGAAAGCTAAGATTTGAACTAATTTATCTAAAATCCAAGCTTTACTAAGAAGACTAAAGCTTTACCTAGTAGAATAGAAATTAAATTTCTTAATATTTACTAATTTATAACTATTAACTTTTAAATTAGTGACATTATATGCATAATATATTCTTCTAAAACAAACTTTACAGTTAAGATAACATAAACATATAAGATAAATTAGATTTGCCTTTTTTTAATTTAAAAAAGATAACTATTATTTTTCTTACATAAACGAACTATATGAATTCTATGATTCGTCATGTATTTCGTTATTCACCAACTTCGAATTTATGAAAGATGAGTGACGAGATTCATAAAGAATGGCTGACGAAATGGATTCATCATTCGTCAGACTTCATTAAATTAACATTATAAGAATTTCACTTATCGAGGGAAGAATTAGAACAAAACACTTTATGAGACAGTTTTAACGAGTTTTACTTTATTGAAGGTAAAACTTTGTTGGTTGTATATTTTTCAATTAAATACACTGAAGTAAATATATTGGATACATTGTAGATCGAGAGAAGGGTAAAGTTGCTTTTCATAATGGTATAACTATTACTCTAGTAGCAAATATATGAAAATTACGTCATATCTTTAACCATGTTATAAGAACTGCAATTTACCAGACCACCATGAAGTACTGAAATATACTACACAATATTATTAATAGCAAATGCATGAAATGAATAAACCTTTTTTTACAATAAATTGAAAGAAATTAATAGAAAAAATTTTTAAAGTCTTTTTAATGTTGTTTCAATTCCTTCAAATTCTTCGGATATTCTTGATATTCTTTTAGTTGGTTCAATCGAACTACCTATTAATGGTTCAAATGAAATTGGTGGATTTAAAACCATAAGATTATGAGAAATATTGATAAGAATCTTTTAAATGAACAGGTTAAATACCTTGAACACCATTTTGATTATCAACCAGAACAGAAGGGGCATTAAACTTATTGCCACCAAAGGAATTAATCGATGATAAATGATCTGATGAAATTTCTCGAGGTGAAATTTTTGGAGGAGAGAAAAGTTTAATTAATAGCATGTATCTTAACCACTCTAAGAGAGAAGGTTGTGAAACTATACTATTATTAGCTCTATTATCAACGTTATTATTTTTATTAATAAATTTTTTATTATTAATATCTTCGATGATAATATTATCAATATCACTTTTAATGTTATCAGCATTATTGCAATTTAGATCATTTGATTTTACTAGTGCAGTGGCTTTGTTGTGAGATTTATGAGGGTAATGAGACTCATAAGAGTTAACAATGAAGATCCACCATTGTAATTTAATAGCCTGGAAAGTACGAGTAACTGCAATATCTTGTGAAAATACTAAAGCATTCAGGAATCCTAAGGTGTAATAGACAAAAACAAATAATCAAAGAATGTTCAAATATAAAGAATATATATATACATATATAACGTGTAAAAATACCTTGAAGTGATATGCCAATAAAGCAAATTAACAAAAATGCATAAGGGATCTCATGATAAATATGATAGTAAGTTTGAGTGAAACCGCTAAAAATTTGAGCTATCGGCAACACAGGATACCACATGACTCTTCTGACAACAGATGAAATTATAGCCTTATTAATTAAGGGGAGATGACTAGATGACCGAGAAGTTGAAGAAAAATCCAAAGTATCGAATTGTTTTGCTACTAAGTTGAGTTTTCTAATGACCATAATAATAACGATCGCACAATACGATATAGATGCATATATCCAACCGTAATAGGTAAACCATTGCCATATTAAAATATATTGTTGACCAGAAACACGATACCAACACCCACTGTAAAAGACATTAATCAATATGAATATATGAAATAAAATACATCAGGCAAAGCAGGGTATAAAGTGCCAGGCACTATTAAAAGTATGGGCATAAAATGTCGGACATAGTTTCGGCACAACCAAAAAATTTTATAGTTATGTAATAAGCAAATACATACTAGCACTAGTAATGCAGTAGAATGCCCATGCCCGTGCCTAGTGATGCGGTGGAATTATCTCTAATTCCTCAACTTTGAGGAATTGACCATCAACATTTTAATAATTCCAAAATTTAGGCAGACGGTACATTTTGATGCAAGAATTTACAAGATGTCAAAAATGCAACTTTTGCATAAATTGTGGAATTACTAAAATTGGAAATGTTTTTGTCGCAATTGTGGAATTACTAAAATTAGAAATGTTTGCCACAATTGGGGAAATAATTCCCCTGCATCACTAGCCGTGCCCATACATGCCTGCACTTTTTGTTGTGCATAGTACGTAACTGGTCGCAGATCCACGTACGTACATATATATATAATAGTATAATACTATACATACCTAATAAGTTCATCATAACCAAATATATTAGCGGAAGCAGGAAGTAGAGAAAGAAGAAGGGCAAAAAAAAACGCAAACATAAAATAATAACTTTCAAAATTATATCTTTTATATTCATTTACGAACATTATATGAAGGTTCTAAAATTAAAAAAAATACAAAAAATGAAAAATGTAAACAAATACATAAACACATATAATGAACAGTAAAATATAATTATAATAGATGTTGCGACGGATGCTAAAATTTGGGACCCAAAATTCACATATATCAATTCCAATCCTAAACACTAACTCAACCAAATTTCAGCATCAGCCCCGATAATACATACCAAAGCTATACAAACGATAAAAAATAGTGAAGAAAGAGCAAGAAACACGAGTGCCCAAGCCTTATATATAGAAATTAAGAAATTAAGAAATTAAAAGAAGCTATTTATATCAAAAAAGAAGAGAATGCTAATAATATCTTACCAGGTATCCACACAAAAAACCAGGAGTAGCCACCCAAAAAAATCTAAATAAAAGATGACCGGAATAGGCTATATCACAGAATAAGGCCGCAAAGCTTAAACGAAATGAAACACGATTCGCGAGTTGAGGATGGTATGTTCGTATGAAGACAAATGTGACGCATGCGGCAACAGAAGAAATGAGAGAAATGATATTCAAGGGAATACATAATTTAGATATAAAGATGTGTTGATCCTTTGTTATCTTTAATGGTTTAGTAGAATTCATTGATATGTTTGTAGAATAATAATTGAATAATAATTTAGTAGAGATACAAATAATTTACTGATAATTTGCTTGGATGGTTTATATATATGTAAATAGTCTCAGAAATTTTAGGGATTGTTTTTTCTGATTCACCTTGATAAAAAATTTTTACATTTACTAAAACGCACTTTAGTGCTTACCGCTTATATTGAATTGCTTTAAAAAGTGGCTAATTAATTAATATATGGTGCTTAAATAAAAATGCTTTATAGCTCATAAACTCTTTCACAAACCCTAATTATAACTCGAAATACTAACCCGAACATGAGAAATATATGCAATATATTTTATACAAAACTTTTACGTAGCAGATGCCAAGTGCGTTTCATAATAAATGATTTATACTAACACCTTTATGGTAAAATGTGTCAAGTGACAAAAAATTTATTGCATATACGAGTAGCACAAAATGATAACATTAACTTTAAGGAATATCGAATATCATAATTTAAAAAATAGCGCACCTCAGAAATGAGTGACGAAAGGTTTTCCTTTTCGTCACTCAAATAAATAAGTATAAAATTATTATTTTTAATAACAATGGCCATTGGCTCAAATTTATTGAAAATGAAATAAAATGTCATATATTTGATTAAATTAGATTTCTGCATTTAAACGCCTTTTTATACTTTATTTTTACCTATGCATGTACTGTTTAACATGTTGTTTTAATAATAATCTTACACTAACTATATAATTTAGTATGTTATTAGTTTAGATTGTAAATTGTCACTTGAGATGATGTCGCCTAAATAAGTTGTCGGTGAAATGATTACTAGCAAAGTAATACAGGACTATCCTGCATATTTCTTAACGTTATAGAGTTAAATTAATAAGTGGACGTAACAACGTTTAGTTGGTAAATTTGAAATTGGTCTTGTCTAAATTAATATGTGTATCTTAGTGTAAGTTTGCAAAATCATATAAGTTCCATGTAAGTAAATCATGTAAGTAAATCATGTAAGTAAATCCCTTGTACACATTAATGAGTAGTATTTTTTTCGTCAACTACTGCATATAGAACATAAGAATAGATAGTATGCCATTGGATTGGATTGATGATTTTGGACGATACCAAAATCGACGAATCCAAGCAGCTCATGAGATAAATTAAATTTTGGTATATATCATATTATATGAGGAGTTTTTTTGATTGGTTGTTAAAATACCCCGGAAGAAATGTCGATCGTAGCCCGGATAAAGTGGTAGTGTGAGCGGTAGGGTGGTGCCGGAAACTCATTAAAGCAGGTGATCGGTGTGGCGCAGTAATCGAATAATGGCTATGTCGATCACCTACCTAAAATGGGTTTACCGGCAGTATACACTGTATTCACTGTATACTTAGTATCGGATCGATAATTGATATCAGTGGGATAGGGGGACCAAGAGTATAATTAAAATAATCATTATAAACATTATGATCAGTATAATTAGCATAAACATTATAAGCAGTATAAGCGGTATATCACGAATAAAGGATATAACGTGTACTATGTAAATGAAAGTATATAAGAAAGGTTTCGAGCCCTCCAAGAACAGTACAGTTAGTGCTTACCATAAATTTCGCCCCATAATAATTTTCTGTTTAATTATATTATAAAACCTACAATCATAAATACACCACTCTCCAAATCTAACCGCCTCTTATCGACTAAGCCATTCGTAGGTTACACGACATATCCGATCGTGAAGCGACTGACTTGCCGTTCTGCTTGTGTCAGTAGTCATACGGGTACCCTTATGTCAAGAAAATCCCGGGCTGAAGATTGCTGAAGATCGCTTCCGACCCTATCCGGATCCAATAAAATCACAGGATCTCGTGTAACAAAACAAACGCGAAAACCATAAGAAATTGTAAAAAAACGTAAATAGCACAAAAATTTACTATGATGCTAACTTCCGAACTCTAAGTAAAAGTTTTCAGAATGAAATTTTACTTATAAGATACCATTGTTAATGATAGATATATAGAGAGTTTTTAATATACTACGACCCATATCTTTTTGGCCGGCAGCTTGGGATTTTCTTGACATAAGGAAATTTTAGTCATACCCAGATGAAATTTTATTACTCAATAAAATAGTTAAACCTTCTATAGTTTTACAATACATTAATTACATGGTAACAATTTTAATTTATATCTTACGAGGTATAATTAAAGTACATTAATTATGTAATAAACAATATTGTAATTAAACTTGGATTCTAAGATACGAACATTTCTAACCATTGCCAACTATAAACTTTGTGAAATTATAAACTACATTATACACTATAATTTAAATAAAACAACAATATATAAAGTATGGATTTTTATTAGGTAAGCAGAAATATTTACTCACCAATTGCTTAAGTTGTCAAACCACCTTCTGACCTTTGTCACGGGGATTTTATCAAGCATATATAAATAATAATTATAATATTCACCAATCGAATTGATCTATTGATTAAATAGCATTTGTAAGAAGAGATAAATAAGTACTTCGGTTAGGGGGTGTGTCGTTTATTACGTAATTTCTTGCTATTATTAATCCCCTCCCTTAAAAAATTGAGTCTCACCTCTTAACAAGATAAATCAGACTAAATACTAAATTTGTACAATAAGAAATTAATACATAATGACTCTATACTTACCAATCATCCCAAAAACTAAAGAATATGACTGGTCGGAATTACTTCTTGCATACGTTGATCCGTTTCACAAAAAAGATTTATTTAAGACATAGTACAAAGCGTAGTAATAACAAATAATAAATGAAGCCTTGTTTGCGTACAATAGAAAACTTTAATCCAAATACGGTACTGATTTCCTTTCCCGTAATTTATCTCATTTATACTTTATCTGAAAATTTATGCTATAGAATTTCTGTTAATAATTGTATTTTAAAATAAAATTTATGACTTTGTTATATTCTAAACTTTAAATTTGTACAACACTATGCATTTAATGCATATGCAATATTTTAATCCTTATCATCATTGATTTATCGCCTTGTTTTAGTTGCAGATTTTGAATCATGTTGATGGATTTTGAACTTTATCACTACTGTATAAGTTATTAACCGTATAATGAATTAACACATTTATATAATTTTTAAATTTGACGGTCTTATGAAATATGGGTTATTATAATAGTAGAAAATATGGAATGCCGTTTTATTTCAATAATATCAGTTTTAAGCAATTTAAATTAATAATTTCGTGTTTTAAGTTCGTGTCTGCATGAAAAATTACTATTTTATAATAATATATAATACAAATATTTTATTAATAATAAATTAAACTATTTTAATTTAAAAATACATATAAAATTTATACTATAAATGCAACCATAAATTTATGTTTGTACTATAAATTAGGTTTTAAGAAAAGGCATATTTTTTTTTATTAATATCTTTTGTATATTCTTATTAACAATACATTTTTACTAATTTTTTTATTGATTTAAATTAAATAATATTTTTTACTAGCCCTTGTTTATATTTTTATTAGTAGTTTAAAAGTTAGCAACTATATAGAGTTGCTATATACAAAAATTATAAATGCTATGATTAAGACCAATACTTGCAGTCAGAATTAAACATTAAACTGCTAACTATATAACTATTCTCTAAATACAAATAAAAAAATATCACATTTTAAAATAAAAGCTCAAACATATTTATTTGTAATCTAAATCTACTAAAATGGTCAAAACTCACTTAAATTTGTAAGTTTAAAATATAATTATAAAAAATATTGTATTTAATCCAAAATATAGTTCAAATATTAATTTTATAAATAGTATAACTAATAGATGAGCAAGTATTAAAATTAAAAAAAGTTAATTAAAATATTTATATAAATAAGAATAAGTATAATTTCTATAATTAGATTTGTTTTTATTGTTTTAACTTGGTTGAGTTAAAAATCCAAAATAAAATAATTTAAGTCTTTGTTGTTGTTTTCAGTTAGCAAAATTTATAAAGTATGATTTTTATATTTATCTATAAAAAAATTTATTAATTTTAACAAAATAGTAATAATAGTTTGTAAAACAAGTTTATATAAAATATTAAAATTTTATATAGTGTTAATTAATAATTTAAATATAAGGTCTTTGAGTATAATATCAAGATAATAAGAATTTAATTAAAGAGGTATATAATAAAATACATAATAATTACTAATTTTGTGAATAAGCTCTTTTTATTAGTTTTTAAATAAATTGAAATTTGTTTAGTTAATATTTTTAGATATACTAGTTTGAACAAGAATGAAAATAAAAAATAAATTAAAACATATATACCAATAAGTAAAAAACCAAATAAGTTACAATAAAAATAATTAGTATTATAAATATATGAAAATATATTTTATAAAAATAAAAATATATAAAAAGTTATTTAGTAAAGTTTTGATCTTAAATAATTTAAAATAATTAAGTTTAAAATTTGTAAAATTATATGTTGTTTTTTAATTATAATTAAAGAATAGTTAGATTAATTTTAAATTAATTTCTGAGACCAAAAAATTATATTCTATATTACATTTTAAGAGACCATATTGTCAATATATAAAATCTACAAATATTTTTAATAAAACTCCTAGTTGAGTATTTATAAAATGTTAATTCTAAAAAAATTATAGTATAGCTTATAAATACTAGTATAGTTAAAAATATAGTGTAGAAAATTAATTATATTGTTTAGCTAGTGAATTAACTAAGTTATTAAAAATGTTATTAAAGTAAGCTTGTATTTTATAAAAGTTAATTTAAAGATTGTAAAATTTAATAATATTAATTAGTAAATGCTATATAGACTATAAGTTAAATTTAAAAAGTTTATTCAAGTTAAGAAAGTAATAAAAAATTTTAAAAATTTGGTAATAATAAACTAAAAGTTTAAAAAATATTAATAATTGAGTTACAAAAAGTAATAATAATAAATAAAAAAATTAACATTAGTTTAGCTTTATAAGAAGATATTTAATAATAAATTTTAACTAAGAATTTGTAAATAATTTATTAAAGTTACCTATCTAATGTTTATCATATATTAATTAGTATTAATATTAATTACGAAGCCATCAGTATATAAGTTAAATATATTTTGAGTTGCATTAATAAAAGAGTATTATTTAAATATATGTGTAGCTACTTTTTGCTAAAAGATTTATAAATATAAAAAAATCAAAGATATAAATAGTAGGTGCAGAAAATAGAGAAATAAGATGTTTAATTGCAATTGAATAAATAAGATTAATGTAGTTAATATTAAAAATTAAATAACTAAAAAAGATTCTTTAATAAATTAAATAAAAATTATAAGTAATATATTAATAATATATAAATTAGCAATTCTGTAAAAGTAAAATAGTAGCATATACAGAGTGAACATTAAATTAATAAAAGAAATAATAAGCAAAATGTTTATATTAATATTTATTTGTCAATATGTAATAGATGTTTGTTTAGTGTTCTTAAAATGTTTATAAATCTTATTAATGATAATAATAATATTATTATATATAAGTAGCTAAGACTTAAGTTTTTTGAAAATATATTGAAAGTTGTAAGCAAAAAGATTATATTCAAGTTATTAAGAATATAAAAGAAGTATTTTAAAACTATTATTAATAATTATAGTATTTTTCAAAGAGGTAAGCCAAAATAGCTTTTAGTATATATTAAAAATTAAATAAATTTAAATTTTAAAATAAATCTATTAGGTCTGTTAATATTAGATTAAGAATGTTAAAATTATATTTGTAATAAATTATAGATTTTTTTTTTTAATGTTATGATAAGTACATGCAACCCAG